CGTGGCAGTTTTTCTGCCCGCTCTGCGTGGGTGGTGAGTACCACGCGTGCCGGGAATCAAGACGGGGGACCCTTCCGTGTTGGGCGAGGCGGTCGCTTCGCCACGATGGTACGGTCGCGTTGCCACAATGGTATTCCTGCTCACTCGTGGCAGTTTTCCTGCCCGCTCTGCGTGGGTGGTGATTACCACGCTTACCACAGGTGTCCAGTCGCTGTAGTTACTGGAGTAATATAGAATCTTTCCTATCAATGCCCTCGTGCCAAGCTGTGTGCTACGCGCCAGAGTCTTCGTTGTTCCGCTGTTGGTGCCCGCTGGGTTTGGCGCGCCATAGTCTATGCCTTTCCGAAGCTGGTGCCCGACGTGACATGTGCTGCGTTTCCTGTTGCGCGTCAAAAACTCCGCCTTTTCAATGCTGTTGCACGCTGTGTTTCCAGTTGCTGGTGGCCCGACTCGACATGTGCTACGCTTTCCACTGTCGATCGATCTCCGACTTGGACAAACTCTTTCGCGTGTATTGCGCCTTTGGCACGGATTAGGTCTGATGACAGGATTACTGCCCAGATTCCACGGTCGTGAGTTATCCTCTCTCGGATGTTTCATGTTCCCCTCCGTCCAGTGTAGGGCTGTGTTTCTCAGGGTCATTTGTAGGGTTGTGTTTCTCGCTGTTGTGTAGGGATGGTTGTCTGCTCCGTTTCATTGACCTCTGATTTTCGCCTTTTGACAGTGGTCCGCTGTTTTACTGTCGCAAGCACGTCTCCTGCATGGCTTGTGGTGTGCATGCTATGCCACGGCAGGCTTGCAGCACAACCTCGGAAAGCATGGACTGTGTGACGTCTAATACAATTCTCAATGAGGATTTTCCTCCACCACAACTGCCAATGTGTTCACTAGATGTTCGAAGTGGTCACGATTATGTCGATAATGCTCCGGAATCTCCTGCTCGTAAGAGGTCACGAAATATTGCGTGTGCGGACACTACATGTGAAAGTGCGTATCCCGTCCTTCGATGCCCGGTTCGAACCTGTGATGCAGAGAGTGCTCAAGGTCAGGAGGGTAAGGCCTCCTCTACTGACAACGACGCATCCGATGTAGATCGTGTTATATGGGTGCCGAGGAGTTCACTTCGATATTTCGAGTACACGGGTCTTTTGTTTGGTGAGGGTGATGAAGGTGGTTCAGATTCAAGTGCTTCGGTGTCGTCTAGTGCTGATAGTTATCCGGATAAAACCGATCTTCCGCAAACGTACGCTGACCGGAACAGTGACCACTGTTGTCGAAATGACGATGAGAATTGTGACGTGATCTCTGATTTCGATGACATTTTTCCAAAATGTCTGTCCCCAGAGAAGCGTCCTTATACATTTCGTCTCAGAATGCCCCGGTCAAAGAAGATTCTGCAATCAGTTCATAGAAAACTCACCAAAAAAGCACTGGCGAGTGTGCGTGGGCAGGTTTGCTGTAAGCGAGAGTGTTGCGCTCAAATGACCCTGGACGACATCAAAGCTGTCCGGAGCGCATACTATTATAAGAACCAGCAGAGCAGGGATGCGTGCTGGGTTGAAACGTTGAAGAGGTTCACCTTCATAGAAGATGAAAAGGAGATTGTTCAACCTATTGTGGGGAGACGAAAGGTGTGCATTACTGCTTGGTGTTTCACACAGGGTGTATGTAGGAATACATTTCTCAAAAAAAGGATGACTTTGTCAAAAGGCTACAATATGCCGGAGCATGGCAGTACTGGACTCAGACGCACATCAGCAACATATGCGACGATGTACGGGAAACTAAGCTCCTTCGTGCGAGACAACGGAGATTCCATGCCCAATGACATGAAGACCAAAGAGGGGGAATCAAGAGTGGTGTTGAGATTGCCTGCTTGCTATAACAAGGTTGATATTTATAAGTTGCTAAAGTCGCAATTCGACAACACGGGTGCTCCTTGTGTTTCTCTCCAAGTTTTTTTACAACATGTGGAGAACGCAGTTCTGGCATGTGAAATTTCATGACATTGATCAAAACTTTGCGAAATGCGAGAAATGTGTTGAATACAAAAAATCTATCAATTCCGCAAAGTTCGTGCGTGTGCGTGAGTACTTTGTTTCGTTACGCGAGAAACACTTAGACTTGCAGCTCCAACATCGTGCTGCGTATGAGGTGTGGAAGGATGAGTCGAAGAGACCGGGTTCCAACAGTTTGTGCATCATCATTGACGGCATGGACCAAAGTAAGACCAGCATTCCACACTTTGACGGAGAGAACAAATCGAAGGCATTCGCAAATATTCCGATGTTGAAAACGAATCTAACAGCTATTATTGCACACGGTGGCTCACCATCGGTCCATGTTCACACATGGTACCCTTGCTATCCACATGATTCTAATGTTGTAGTGTCATCCATTATGAAAGTTCTCCGCGACATCCAGGCGACGAGCGACTTGCCTGCTAAACTGAGGATACAAGCTGACAACTGTTTGAGAGAAAACAAAAACAGATACGTTTTGACACTCGCTGCAGCTTTGGTGAAATTTGGTTTCTTCAAAGAAGTCGAATTCGGTTTTATGTTAGTGGGACACACACATGCGGACGTTGATGCCACTTTCAGTCATTTCTCTCGCAAACTGAAAATACACGATGCATATACCATGCTCGACCTCTTCAAGCTCGTTGCCAGTTCTCAAAAAGAACGTCCATCGTACACATTTATGGATGAAATTGCTGATTGACGAGTTGCTGTTAAGCCCTTCCTGGTCAAGAGACTGACCGGTCATACTCGTCCACATGCATTTAGGTTTTATATGCAGGATGACAATCCTGTGTTCCAGTGGAAAGAGTATTGCACTTCTCCTGAATGGTCTGCTCCAGTATATTGCTTTAAACGAGATGAAAACAAAGCATATGCTTGACCTGAATGACCATTCGTGCCATCACCTGTTCCGCCGTCAGCTTCTCTGCCTACTATAGATAGGAATTCGGATTTCGAATCGGGAATTGAAGGTGTGAAGACGTTTGTTGGGTGGTTGGAGAACAAGCGGCACGAGTGGTTGGGAATAAAAGATGAGGTTAGCTTCTCAAAGGAGAGTGCTCTTTCACAATGGAAAACTTTCCTCAAGACAGTCGAGCAGCATTACGGGTCTGGGTTTGCGAAAACTTCACTCAAGGCTGACTTCTGGCCATTACAAGACAAAATTAAGAAGGATGATCCAGATGATATTGATATTGCCTTCCTCTTGAAGAGCAATGAGAATAAGGAACCGTTGTTCATTGGACCGGCCAATTAGCGTCCAAAGGCGGAGCTCAACCCAGTTGTGGATGTCGAAAAAGGCCAATCCGTTCTCTTGCGCTCTTCCCAGAATGATATCGATGAGGGAGTCCCTGTATGGATGGGTAGAGTCGTTTCCGATGTAGACAACGATATGAAGTCGTCAACTTTCAATCATATTCTTATTGAATATTGGGTGCCACAACCTATTGCTAAACGTCTTTCTGTGCAATATTCGAACGCATGGAAGAAGACGTGGAAGAAAGACAACACAACATCACAGCAGTGGCAGCATGTAGACTGTGTTGTGTGGAGCTGGACATCAAAGACATTGCATTTAAAAAATGGAGTGCACATTCCAAAATCAGCCAGAGAGAAGACCTTGGTATGCCTTTCACTTCCCGATAATGAAGATCAGTAGGTTTTCAATAGGTTTTGAAGAAGAGCTAATCGTTTTTCTTTACACGTATTAGTACGTTATTTAGTTGTCATTGAGCTTTCATTTATATATATTTAAACTGTATTTTCATGTGTTGTAGAATGGTTCAACCATTTGTGACGACTGGATGGCCGCTAAGTAACATGGTGTGGGGAAGAAATATATGGCATGATATGGGTCCATTTTTCTTCACATCCGAAGTGATCTTTGACAGTGCAGTACTCAGTGTTAGAGGTGTGGATGCCCCACCGGAAGACTGAGAACATTCTCCTCGAGAGTCACTGTATATTTGTGGTCGGAGGTGTTGTGGAACGAGAACATACCCGCGAGAAGTGCTCGCACCCTTTTCGGAATTGTATTATTCAACAGTCAAATTTTGCCACAACAATTTTAACGTGATGACCTTTTTTTGTGCAGCGGCAACTGTTCGAGGTCGATGCAAAGTATCTTTCCTTATTCATAATGACTATTCTGCAAGTGCAAATGTTTCCAATGCAGACAACATCGATGAACGACGACGACAAGAATTCCGAAGGAGGATCATGGAGCAACCATCACTCGAAACACTAATGGATGGGCTTGTGGACACGACCATCAAATATTTGCGAAGTCTCCTGCTGCACGAATATGAAGTAATAGAAAGTTATATAGAGTACAAGGATCCGACGATTGACGGACAAATTGATACCATCATTGTAGAAGATTGAACAACTTATACAAGGACAGACTGAAATGTTGTCTTGATCGCATTAGTTTATCCCCTAAGTCGATCTAGTTACTAGGCTTGTTTTACCTACTAACTTATACAAGGACAGACTGAAATGTTGTCTTGATCGCATTAGTTTATCCCCTAAGTCGATCTAGTTACTAGGCTTGTTTT